TCTTCTGGATATATATCTAGTAGAGGAATTATAGAATCAAATAACAGGTCTATTTTTAGTTCTCTAAGTGTTCTCCAGATATCTTTCTGAAAGGATAGACTCTCACTGGATTAAAGATTTAAACTTAAGACATGAAACTATAAAAATATTAGAATAAAGTATAGGGAAAACACTTGAAGAAATTGGCCTGGGTGAAAATTTTATGAGGAGGACACCCCAGGCAATTGAAGCAACATCAAAAATACATTACTGGGACCTCATCAAACTAAAAAGCTTCTGCACAGCCAAGAATACAGTGAGTAAAGTAAGCAGACAGCCCTCAGAATGGGAGAAGATATTTGCTGGTTATGTCTCCAACAAAGGTTTAATAACCAGAATCCACAGAGAACTCAAACGTATTAGCAAGAAGAGAACAAGTGATTCCATCTCACGGTGGGCAAGGGACTTAAAGAAAAACTTCTCTGAAAACAGGCACATGGCCTACAGATATATGAAAAAATGCTCATCATCTTTAATCATCAGAGAAATGCAAATCAAAACTACTTTGAGATATCATCTAATACCAGTAAAATTAGCCCATTTCACAAAATCCCAAAATCACAGATGCTGGCGTGGTTGTGGAGAAAAGGGAATACTCCTACACTGCTGGTGGGATTGCAAACTAATACATTACACAATTTGAATCCAAATATTGCATATCATATTAGGAAATCTGATAGTGCTTGAGGAAATATTATCAAGAGCTAGATAAACACTGACAGATCACAGAGAACCAAAAAGAGGTTCAAGTTTAAAGCAGAGAAACAAAAGCTTGGGTTCCAGTCGTCACTGAACCACCAATTTGTTTTCTTCATCTTTACCATGAAGAGGTCGTCTACGTATTCTCTGAAGTGAGAAATAAAAACTGAAATAAAATTAAAATAATGACTTGATTTCTAAGATCATTGTACTTCTAAAATTCCTGTTTCATGTGAGATGACAGAAATAAAAACTCATGAAAAACAAAAAGATAGTATTTTACATACTGATTTATTGTAAAGCTTAATAATCACAAAGTATTTAATAAAAAATAGTTTTAAATACATTTTTAAAGTCCTAAATAAAGCTTCTACTTAGGATAAATACACATACTTTTAGACATACAAGTGTAGCTTTTGAAAAAATTAAAAAAAAATTTTTTTTTTAAAGAAACATATTCTTCCTAGGTTGCCCAGGCTGCCATCATGGGCTCAAGTGATCTTCCTACCTCAGCCTCCCAAGAAGTTAAGATTATAGTCACGTGCCATGGTGTGGAGCTTAAAAATGCAATTTTAAAGGAAGATTTCAGACCTCTTAAGCTTATGTGATGGCTAATTGTCAGCTTGAGGACTTCAAAAATGTGCATCTATAAAAATTTGAGGAAATTAATGAAGATAAACATCTACCGTATAATGTAGGAGAAAGCCTCATGATCTACTTAGAAATGCATACATTCTGCATTTTATAATAATATTCACAAAGTTATTGTTATTACAAAATTTTTCACTATATATTCTGGTTTAAACTCCCTCATATGTCACCTTCACAAATAGCAAGCACAGGTTTATAAAATATATATGTTACAATATATCCATACATATACACAGTACTTTTCCCCTTGTATATAATGCCCCTTCATAAGAAGATATTTGGTCTAAGGAACAATCAGAGCATAGCAAAATGCTGCTTTAACTGTTTAATTAAATGCTGTGTATCCACATGATCTGGAAATGCTGCTTCAGACTTCTGTGCAGCAACATAGCTTCTCTGCAGATCTCCAATCTGTAAGAAACCCAAGAATAAAGTCATAGGATGAGAACAGAAAAAATAAGTAAGGAAGTGAAAAAAAGACATCCTATCTGCATCCTAGAAACTCCAAGGGTTCTTACAGGTAAATTGCTTGATAATACTACTTTCATTTTAGAATTCCCTCACCTAGATCATAATTCAATCTTGAAAAATAAATGAGAAAAATAAAATAACCAATTATAACTAATGTATGCTTATTATAGCTGTCTAGCAAATAACTTAAAAACCTGTGTTTTCTTTTCCTATTATAAACATAAAGTGATATTTGTATGTTGAAATAGCCAGTTCCAGATAGCTTAGGAAAATCTCAGGGAAACGAGATGCAATGTACCATAAACAAAGACACACTTTGATTAGGGAACTATCTTTTAGAAATTTCAAGCCGTAACTATTGTATTTAATATATGTTCTAAGATTATAAAATGATGCTAGAACAATAATTTTGGAAAGATATATCGTTTTAAAAGTTTATAAAGGGTATTTCTGATTTTCAACGAACTGTGTATTAAAGTCCAGTCTCAAAAAACTCCACATGTACTATCCAGATACTGCCTGAATATATCTTTTTTATTGATACATAAGAACTGTACATTATTTATGGGTACATATGATAATTTGATATATACCTACAATGTGTAATGATCAAATCAGGGTAACTGTGATATCTATAACCTCAAACATTTATCATTTCTTTGTGTTAGGAATGTTCTAAATCTCTTCTATTTTCAAATATATAATAAATAATTGTTAATTACAGTCTGAAATTATCTTATTTACATTACAAACATTTTTGGCCATTTCTGTGTTCTCAAAATGGACAACACTTTCATGTTAAAAGGTTTCCGAGTAAAAGTTATTAGATGTAATTTATTTTCTCCTTACTATTAAAAATGGCACACACCATGAAAAAAAATAAAAAATAAAAATGGCACATCGTTCTTTTTTACTTTTGGATATTAACTTGCAACACAGTGTTAATAGTTGCATTTCCCCCAAATTGTTCATAGTTAAGATATCTTTCACTGATAGCCCCAATTTTATAGTAATCTTGCAAGACTTGGTGGCAATATGATACACAATAATATACAGATTTCCTCACTGTAAAAGCCAATAACTAAATGCATCCCAAAATAGGAATTACTCAATGAGTATTTTTCTTCAGGGACCAAATGTCATATTTTAAAATATAAAATAATTATTCTGTAATCTATAATAGTTGAAATTTACTCGATATTCAATAATAAATTAAAGTTAAACTGTTCCTTGAAGTAAAGATATATTAACTATAATAATTAAAAGTTTTTAAAAAACCATTTCTTTTAGAAAGGTAAGGTTAGAATTTCCTTATTTATTTTTACTTTTTTTTCAAGCCAAGAAATAAAAAGAATAGTTCAGATGATAAATTAATAAAGAAAGAGAATACCTTATCAGAGACTGTGGCAAAGTTAAAATGTGGTTCATACATATGAGGCGCTAAACTTGATGCAGTTTGTAACAGTGCCCTTGCCTGGAAAAAAAGAATAGAAAAACCAAAGACATATAAGTATCTATCAGTATTATATTTGTGTTATCAGTACTATATTTGTGACTTCTTTTGTAAAAGAATTCTTTACCTAGGATAGAGCCTTACTAAACATGATAAATATAGATGGCATTCCTCTTGAAATGCAATGACTTACTAAAATACAGCTAACTATTGTTATCTTGACAAAATTATGCTAATGATAAGTGATTCAAAAGACAGAGAAAGACTAGGTGTGGTGGCTCATACCTGTAATCCCAGTACTCTGGGAGACTGAGATGGGTGGATTGCTTAAGCTCAGGAGTTCAAGACTAGCCTGAGCAAAAGTGAGACCCTGTCTCTACTAAAAATAGAAAAACTGGCCAGGAGTGGTGGTGGCATCTGTAGTCCAAGGGACTCGGGAGGCTGAGGGAAGAGGATTGCTTGAGCCCAAGAGTTTGAGGTTGCTGTGAGCTATCATGCCATGGCACTCTACCTAGGTGACAAAGTGAAACTCTGTTTCAAAAAAACCCCAAAAAAACAGAAAACAGAGAAAATACAAAAATTGAAAATTTAGAGATTTAAAGTTGGTTGAGAACCACTGTTCTTACAAAGTTTATATATCAATATGATATACAATTTGAATTATACTCTTTTTTTTTTTTTTTTTTTTTTGACAGAGCCTCAAGCTGTCCCCCTGGGTAGAGTGCCGTGGCATTACAGCTCACAGCAACCTCCAACTCCCGGGCTCAAGCGAGTCTCCTGCTTCCGCCTCCCAAGTAGCTGGGACCACAGGCGCCCGCCACAACGCCCGTCTATTTTTTGGTTGCAGCCGTCATTGTTGTTTTGGCGGGTCCGGGCTGGGGATTCGAACCCGCCACCTTAGGTGTACGTGGCTGGCGCCTTAGCTGGTTGAGCTATAGGCGCTGAGCCGAATTATACTCTTAACACTAAAAAAAATTCTTCTTAGTTTGTGCTGCTATTGATTGATTTAACAGGCTCTAATTACTTGTTCTCTAACACAATAACAAAAATTTGCATTTTTAAACACTAAAAATACTGCTGTAAATTTCAAAGCCCAAAACTCTGAGGATGACAGTGAACAGGCATTTATTACACTGCTGGCCAGTTTTGTATGTAAAATGGCAGTTGAATGCGACAAGATTTCTGTTCTCTAAGATATATAAAACACAACTTTCACATTATTTTTTGTTCCCTATAGGTTCAAAGGATCATGCATTGCAGAGACCACTGAGTGGCATGAGATGTTCATATATCTACCATAAAGAGCACAAATTCAGTATTACACGCTGCTGAACAACCCTCTGGCTTGTAACTAACCTTGAAACTAATATCGTGATCCTCAGGACAAATTCATATATCTTTTTTTATAGAAAATAAAATGATACAGGTTCATATAGAATGGTAGATGTTTTAACAATAAAATGGGATTCATCTCATGAAAGCTTTCATCAAAACACTTCAAGTCAATTGCATACTAGAGAAACTATAGTAAGTAGGAGGGAAAAGAAATCACCAGTAACAGAAAAAAATCACAAAGTTCCATGACAAAACCCCTTTACAGTAGTTACAGTCTATAAATTTTAAGTCCATCTTATTTACTTTATGAGAATTAAGGTAATATCCGATGATGTTTCTTTCCTTGTTTTTGTTAAAAGTGTATCACTGTGCCTAGGAGATGAGGTTGGGGTTAATATCCCAGCATGCTGCTCACCATGTCTGTAAACCTGGATAAACTTACTCACCCTCCTTAAGTCTCCATTTCTTCATCTCCAAAGTGAAGAATGCAAAAATATTTACCTGGATTACTACTAATACTGTACAAATGTACTTAGCATTTTAAATTTTTTGTTTTACATATTTATAATAATAATGCACTTTATTATGCATCTCCTATGTGCTTAGTACCGTGGGTCTACTATGTCAAGAGCTTTACATGCATAGTCTACTCCTAACAGAAACACTGTCAGATCAGTACTACTATTTATTTTCTCTATCATCCTTTCATTCCACAAATATTGACTGAGCATCTACCATGTGCCAGGCACTATTTCTGATGCTGAAAATATAATAGCTACATGACAGATAAGGTCCCTGCTTTCATGCAGCTAACAGTCTACGTTCTATACATAAATGGGAAAATAATCATGAAGTGGTAAGTGCTTTGAAGAAAAAAAGTAGATATGATAGCACTCGAAGGCTATCATGTTAGAGATGGTCTTTCTAAGGAGGTGGCATTTAAGCTAAGATATGAATGACAAAAAGAAATTTTGTCTGAAGGAAGAACCTTCCAAAGATCTGAAGGTAAAACGTTCCAAAGGCCCTAACAGAAGATTGAGCAGTGCAGTCTCCAGAGCAGCAAGACAGTGACATGTCTGCCAATCAATGGGAAAGGAGAGACAAAAGATGCCCTATGAAAGGAAGCCAGAGGCCAGATTATGTGAAGTCCAGATTTTATTCCAAGTAAAGGAATAAGGAGAAGGCACTAATGGATTTTAAGCAAAGTAATAACAAAATAATCTTGTTTTTAAAAAAATCCCTTATGCTGGCTCAGCACTTGTAGCTCAGTGGCTAGGGCACCAGCCACATACACCAGGGCTGGCAGGTTCAAACCCAGCCTGGGTCTGCCAAACAATGACAACTACAACAAAAAAAATAGCTGGGTGTTGTGGTGGGTGCCTGTAGTCCCCACTACTTGGGAGACTGAAGCAAGAGAATTGCTTAAGCCCGAGTTTGAGGTTGCTGTGAGCTGTGATGCCATAGCACTCTACTGAGGGAGACACAGTGAAACTCTGTCTCAAAAAGAAAAAAAAAAAATCCCTTGCACTGTTCTGAGGTAGAGTGCACTCATTTGCTGATGTAAGTGGAAACAAAAAGACCAGTTAAGGGGCTCTTGTAACAGTCTAGGCAAGAAACAGAGCAATTTACAGAAAAAAGGTCAGGTTCAAGATGTGATGGGACTTTGAGGTTAAATACCAAGCCTTGCTGAATGTGAACAGGGGTGGCAGAGAGAAGAGGTAAGAAAAGGGGCTTCAAGGGTAGTTCCCAGGACCTGGGCTTGAACAATCAGACGGTGACCAAAACTGGGATGGTAACTGCTAGAACAATTTACTAAGATAGGGAAGACTGGGGAGGTGCAGATTTGTCCTAATAAAATCAAATGTTATATTTTGGTTTCAGAATGATTAAGTAACTTGGGACAGAGCTGGGATTCCCAGGCCTGTGGGACTCTAGAGCTCATGTTAAAAATACAAGGTACACTGTAACACTGGCCACACCTGCCAGCTTTTCCTTGAAGAAGGCAGATGGCCCGCTGTGCCACTGCCAATACACTGACCTGTTCAACATGACCCTTCCGCATCTCCAGCACGGCCAGGTTGTTGTAGGCCTCGGCATGGTGGTTGTTGTTAACCAAAGCCAGCCTGAAGCACTGATGGGCCAAATTCGTATCTCCTATTCCCTATAAAAGAAAAGAACTTATTTGCACCCATGAATCCATATGCTTCTTCCTACCATCTCCCCTTCTCTTTCCTCATATAAAACTTTTCTGCCACCACAGAAAAAGCAACAACTACCATACAATCATAGGAGTCAAGTGTGAATGTTATTTAAGTGAATTTAACTTAGGAACATAAAGTGAGCTATAATAACTCCTAGGAACTACTTCTAAATTGCCACATAGGACTATAACCAAACCTGGATTTATAGTACCTGAAAATTTCTTCAACGTAACTTTCCATAACAGAAATACATCCCAAGGACAACATACCACAGCTACATGTCCCAAGTTGTACCAGACATCAGCTGTCTCTTCTTCATTTTCGGCCAGAGAAAGGGCACGTTCAAATGAGGTCAGAGTCATATCGTACTGCTGGGCATAGAAGCAACACAGCCCCAGATTGTTAAAAAGCTGGCAGTTATAAACACCCATCTGCAGGAGTCGCCTTTTCAAAAAAAGAACACGCAAATTTAGGTGTCAGACCAACTTTACAAATGTTAAGCTACATTTTACAAAGTTAGAAAAGAATTCATCTTATAATTTTTAACACTCACAAAGAATATAAAGACAAAATGTTATAGTAAATACAAATGTTCATACCAAATGCAAAAGCGTATCTTTTATAATGGTACTAGTCATGGGAAACGTGTCCAGGGGCAAGATCAGAAACAACTTTATCCAAATTTTTTCCCCAAAAACTTTGTTAGAGAACAAACAACTAAGAAATAAATAGTCACATAAAGTAAAACCTACATATTTTAGTTCTGTAAAGGTTTGGTGTCCACAGGGTAAATTCCTAAGATCCTCTAATCTAATGTGGGGGCTGTGTTTAGCATTTCCCTCTAAGTTTTCAGCTGATTGGATCCTGTTTTGGGCTATCTGTATTTGTGGTTAAGCCGTGTCTACTGACCTTCGATGAGCTCCTAGGAAGAAAGGCAAGCCCATCAGGGAATCCCTACATTATCCAATTAGCTTTCACAATGCAGCTTGAGAGCTCCACTTGCTCCTCAGCATCATTAATCCCAAGGGACAGAGGACACGAGAGTTCAAATAAGCAAATGAAAATCCAGCCCAGCTGCTCTGAGAAACCCATGACCCACTTTGAGGTGGGGGAGTAGAGTCAGCTGCCCCTGTGTACAGAATGGCATTTGTGTTAGTATATTTTTATGCCTCTAACATATATTTGGAAAGAACTCCTGTCAGCTGCCAATCATCTCCTTATACATTACCCAAGGGGCTAAGGAGGAAATTGTAATTTAAAAATTAATTCAAAAGCCACACATAGGATAAAATAAGTATGTACTTAGAGAAACAGTGAAAATTATTTATTTAGACTTTGAAAAAAATATTTGAACTGTTAGGCACGGTGGCTCACACCTGTAATCTTAGCACTTAGCAAGGCAGATGAATCCCTTGAGCTCAGGAGTTCAAGACCAGACTGAGCAAGAGTGAGGCACTGTCTCTACTAAATATAGAAAAACTAGCTGGGCATTGCGGTGGTGCGTGTAATCCCAGCTACTCGGGAGGCTGAGGCAAGGGGATCACTTGAACCCAGGAGTTAGAGGTTGCTGTGAGCTAGGCTGACACCATGGCACTCTAGCAAGGCAACAGAATGAGACTCTATCTCAAAAAAAAAAAATTTTTTTTTAACAAAAGTTGACAATATTTCACAAAACAGGGGATTCTGTTTCAAATCCTCACCAAGTTTCAGAACACAGGGCCAAATGCTCTTTGCAAATCTCTTCACTATTTCAGTTTCAATGTCTCTAAGTTTAGTGGAGACAGTGATGAGAGGTGTTTTAAGTAACTATTACACTATTAATCTGTCTGGAAATGGCTAACCTGCACAATGACATGGGGTAAAACCTCACTCAATTATCCAGCCATGTTTCTGCAAGATGCCAGACCTTCTGCATGTTTCCAAACATTGGATGTCACTTTAATGCTCATAAAACATCTGAGTGTCAGAATTTTTAGACCTATATATTACTATATTAATATTTTTTACTACATTTGTATCCCATCTTAGTTATTGTTTCACAGGCAAGTAGTTCTACAAATTGAAGGTAAAGCACACCTGTAAAACCGGAGAGCTACTTCTGGCTGGTCAGAGTAAAAGTGGTTGCTTCCAATGCATGCGATGGCTTCCACATGAGTATTGTCTTGTTTCAGAACTTCTTTGTAGTATTCAGTTGCAGATGGAATATTGTTCATTTCCTATTCTCCATCAAGACAGAAAAGCAATACTTCATTAATATTGGAGAACAAATTTTTTTTTCTGACTTTAGCTAAATCCATTCATTCAACACCTATTTATTAAAAGCCTGACTCAATATGTCAGACTCTATTCTGGAGAGACAAGATGAATAAAAAGGTTACTGTCCTCAAGGAGGTCGTATCTGGGGGGCAAGACAAACAAATGAGCAAACAGGTAATACAATGTTAGCCAAGCATAAGGGATGTAAAGAAAAACAAAGCAGGCTCGGCGCCTGTGGCTCAAGCAGCTAAGGCACCAGCCACATACACCTAAGGTGGCGGGTTCGTATCCTCAGCCTGGGCCCACCAAACAACAATGACGGCTGCAACCAAAAAAAAAATGGCCAGGCGTTGTGGCAGGCGCCTGTAGTCCCAGCTACTTGGGAGGCTGAGGCAGGAGACTCGCTTGAGCCCAGGAGTTGGAGGTTGCTGTGAGCTGTGATGCCATGGCACTCTACCCACGGGGATAGCTTGAGGCTCTGTCCAAAAAAAAAAAAGAAGAAAAACAAAGCAGGGTAAAGTGGAGGGAGTGCTGCTTCAGAAGGGGTGGTCGAAGGGACGCTTTGGAAGAGGTGCTATTTGAAGAGAGACCTGAATAAAATAAGCGATCAAGACCTGGGCATATGTGGGGGACACTCACTTTGGGCAGAGGGAAGAGCGAATGTATGAGACGGGAATGAGAACCCACAAGTCCCATATAAAGAACCACACCAAAACAAGTGAGGCATAAAAGGAGATCAGAGAGGCAGCCAGGGCCTTTGTTGGCCATGGTGACACATGAGAGACCACCATTACAGGATTAAGACCAGAGGAGTAACATAATGATATTTGCATTTTTAAAGACTAACTTGCTGCCACACGCAGGACATACCAAACTAAGGAAGAATGGTAGCAACAAGATCAAGAGCCCAGAAAAGAAATGATGGTAACCCAGAATGTGTTCAGAAATACACACAATTTTAAAAACTAAAGAAACTTTCTACATTTATTAGAAGGTTTAATAGTTAAAATAGTTTACTATTTTAAATTGCATATGAACTTTATGGACACCCTGTATATTCTTTATAAAATACTGATAATCATAAGTAAATGCATCTCATTTATTAAGGAATGTATTTCTTTTTTTTAATAACTTAGGTTTGTTTTATCTTTTACAGAGAAAGGTGGCTAACAATAGGTGATACTTTTTCTTTTTTATTTCAGGTCAATGTGAGGGTACAAACAACCAGGTCACAATTTGTTAGGCAGAATCCATTGTGTAGTTGTGTCCTGCACCCAAAAGATGCGCCATGTATCTCTACATTATGCCCATTAAGTGGGATCACACCAATTCCCTCCTCTTCCCTTGCTCCTCCTCCCCTACTTGAACTGAATTGAGTTTTACTCTTATGTGGGCGTGAATTAGAACATTACTGGATTCATATTAATATTGAGTACATTGGATATTTGCTTTTCCATTCTTGTGTTACATTACTAATAAGAATGTGTTTCAACTCCAACCAAGTTAATACAAAAGATGTAAAGTTGTCATCTTTTTATGGCTGAATAGTATTCCATGGTATACATATACCACAGCTTGTTAATCCATTCCTGAGTTGATGGGCATTTAAGTTGTTTCCATGGATTGGCAATTGTAAATTGAGCTGAAATAATCTAGTGCAAATGTCTTTTTTTCTTCTGGGTAGATGCCTAGTAGTGGAATTATAGGGTCAAATGGGAGGTCTAATTTGAATTCTTTAAGGATTCTCCATATTTCTTTCCAAAGAGGCTGTTTAGTTTTCAGTCCCACCAACAGTGCAAAAGTGCTCCCCTCTCTCCATGCCAGCCATCTGCAACTTTGGGACTTTGTGATGCGGGCTAATCTTACTGGGGTAAGGTGGTATCTCAGGGTGGTCTTAATTTGCATTCCTCCAATGATTAGGGATGATGAGCATTTTTTCATATGTTTGTTAGCCATTCATCTATCTTCCTCAGAGAAGGTTCTTCTGTTCATGTCTTCTGCCCAGTGATAGATGAGATTGTTTGCCCTTTTTTGTTGAGTTCTCTGTAGATCCTAGTTATCAAGTCTTTGTTAGATGTAACATGCAAATATCTTTTCCCATTCTGAAAGTTGTCTATTTGCTTTGATTGCTGTATCCTTAGCTGTGCAGAAGCATTACAGTTTAAGTCCTATTTGTTTATTTTTGTTGTTGTTGCAATTGCCATGGAAGTCTTCTTCATAAAATCTCTCCCCAGGCCAACATTCTCTGGAGTTTTTCCCACACTTTCTTCTAGGATATTTATCATTTCACATCTTAAATATAAATCTTTTATCCATTCTGAGTCAATTTTTGTAAGTGGTGGAAGATGGGGGTCCAGTTTTAGTCTTTTACATGTGATTATCCAGTTCTCCCAGCACCATTTCTTGAATGGGGATTCTTTGCCCCACTGTATGCTTGGATAAAACAAACCAAGCTTTTGTTTGGTTTATCAAAGATCAGATGACTAGGCTCGGCGCCTATGGCTCAACCGGCTAAGGCGCCAGCCACGTACACCTAAGGTGGCGGGTTCGAATCCCCAGCCCGGACCCGCCAAACAACAATGACGGC